ACAGCTCTAATATTTGGTTTTTAATTTGGTTTTATAGGGGTTTATATTTCTATTTTGTATTTGTATTTGTTTTTAATATGCTGTGCACCGCCCTGAGTCCTACGGGAGAAGGGCGGTATATAAATTAAATTATTATTATTATTATTATTATTATTATTATTATTATTATTATTATTATTATTATTATTATTATTATTATCACATGGCACTCACCTACTTCACATATCTGGCTTGGGCTGCCTGCCTGGGCTTTGGGGGAGGGGATGCCATGAGCAGCATGATAGCCAACGTTACCTGTGCAATGCCACCCAGCTCCCAGCCTGCCAAGTTTTGGCAGGCAGCGAGGTGCTCTCCTCACAGCGCCGAAAGGTTGAGCTGGGCGGTGTAAAGCTCGCCAGCTTTGCACCTTTCTGCCTACTGAAACTGGGCAGGCTGGGGGCTGGGCAGCGTCGCGCTTCTTTTTGAATTTGCACTGCCCGGTTCAGCCTCTCAGCGCTGTGAGGAGAGCACCCCGCTGCCTGCCAAAACCCCTCCCCCAGAGCCCATCAAGCCGGATAGGTGAAGTAGGCGAGGGCCATTTGCTGGCCACTTCCAGGCGATAGTGCATTTCTTCATTCCTCACAAAGGGTGACCCCTCCCCAAGATGCACCCAGGGGGCAGGACCGATGCGGCAAGGTCTGGTTCCTCGCTGATTCCAGACGGCCTTGTGGATCTAAGACTGAATGCGTTTCAGCATAGATGGCCACCACAAAATTGTACATTGGCTCCCGGCCAGCCTGGGCCAGGGCCAAGGCAGAGGGGGCCATTCCCTCATTGTTTCCAGAATGGCTTTGCGGGCCACATGAAATCATTTCACGGGCCGCATCTGGCCCCCGGGCCTTGTGTTTGACATATCTGGCCTAAGGCGTTTGCATGATTTTCCCCTTGATTAAAAGCTATCAAGTCGTTTTTTGACTTCTAGCAACTGACCTTTGCAACTAAGCCAAGTGAAATAGTGAAATGTGATGCTAGTTAGCTTGTGAAGATTAGCTGTGTGCTGAGCCCTAAAATTTCATGATGGTTTTACAGAATTACACAATCAGCTTTTTTAAGGGTGACTCTCAGTGGAGATCAAAACCTCTCTACATCCCAAATCTTTATGACCAATTTCCTGTGGCTCCCAAGGATTTAGGCCATGGCAGAACCATCAGGCCAGATGCACCAGGGGAGCCAACTTCACTACTGCTGAACTTCTCCTTTACCGGCCAACAAGAGAAAGGGTGGGGGGGAGATGCAGCATATGGGATCTGTGTGAGGAGATGTTGAATGATCATGCCAATGGAGCCGGACTGATGTTATCTCTCCTGGAGTTGACACCTAGAAATATGCCGGTTTGAATTGCCTGGAAGAACTGCGGGGGGGGGGGGNCCCATTTTTTCCTTGTCAAAAGCTACAGATAATTCCAATATAATGCATTTTAAAAAAATGAAACATTTTCTATTGTACACTTTTTCCCTCAGGGTAAGGTGGCAAAACAGAGGTTTGTCACTCTTGTGTGACAGTGCAGACAGTATGACAAAATGGTAGCTGCTTCCACAAATTCACCACATCGCCCACAGATGAATCCAGGACCCACTGAAAATGATGGGTGCTTCCAGGACGCAGTCACGAGGCCCAGGGATGTGTGCCCTCCCCTCCTTTCCCAGCATGAGGATCAGAAAAGGTAAGGAGGAGGAGGGTGTGAGTCAGTGGACCCTGGGGGAAGGGGAGGCCTGTGGTGACCCTGGGGGGAGGGGGAGGGAAATGACTGGGGGACCCTGTGGAGGAGGGAAGGGCCAAAGAGACACAAAGGATGGGAAACAGAACACAGAGTATCTCGGAAGGTGGGGGAGGACTAGGGATGCCTGAGGCAGGCAAGCATGGCCCTGCACTAGGCCTCCAAGAGTTTTCCCCAATCCTGAGGTAGCCAGTGTTCCCCTTAGTGACTCGCACATTCGATTAATGGCTGCCATCAGGGAGATCAGGGTAGTTAAGGAAAGCAATCTCACTTAACGGCCGTTGCAGCACGCAACCATAATTGGCAGGCCATAACAGTTGTATCTTGAGGACTACTTTTATGCTGGCTGAGGAATTCTGGGCCTCTAAATCTGGAGGAAACCAAGGCAGAAGACTGAAACGCCACATGTGGGAATTATATAATCAATATACAAAACTACCACCCAGAAGCCTTTTTGAGGAATTCCACTACTTCTGCAAAAGGAAATATCGAGTAACTACTGCTGAGAACAAGAAACTGGTAGTTAGCCTTTTTCCAATTTTCTTTTCTCTCCACCTACAATTTTAATTCTGGGACATGTTTCACTAGAAAGAATCAGGCCAGAATTCAAATAGTCAATTTCTCACCTACATTTTCAATGGGAGATCATAAATGAATTTCAAGCCTTTTCTAAACTCTTCAACTTTTGCCTCATGTGGGTTTCCTTGTGTGCAACAAGGGATAATTTATGAGTCAAGTAACGTCCACAGACTGGACATTTGAAAAGTTTCTCTCCTGTGTAACTGAAACTTTTCTCACAATCAGGACATTCAAAGGGTTTCTCTCCTGTGTGAGTCCTCTGGTGTGTCACCAGGTTGGAATTGCGACTGAAACTTTTCCCACAGACAGGACAGTCAAAGGGTTTCTCTTCTGTGTGAATCCTCCGGTGTTTCACCAGGTTGGACATCTCACTGAAACATTTCCCACAATCTGGACACTGATATGGTTTCTCTCCTATGTGTGTCCTCTGGGGTATCACTAGGTTGGAATTTTGACTGAAACTTTTCCAACAGTCCGGACACTGATACAATTTCTCTCCTGTGTGAGTCTTCTGGTGGTTCGCCATGTTGGAATTATCCCTGAAACATTTTCCACAATCAGGACATTCAAATGTTTTCTCTAATGTATGAGTCCTCTGGTGTTTCACCAGGTTAGATTTCTCACTGAAACGTTTGCCACAATCAGGACATTCAAAGGGTTTCTCTCCTGTGTGAGTCCTCTGGTGTATCACCAGGCTGGAATTATAACTGAAACTTTTGCCACAATCAGGACATTCAAAGGGTTTCTCTCCTGTGTGAATCCTCTGGTGTACCACAAGGTTGGAATTGCGACTGAAACTTTTCCCACAGATAGGACAGTCAAAGGGTTTTTCTCCTGTGTGAATCATCTGGTGTTTCACCAGGGTGGACATCTGACTGAAACTTTCCCCACAATCAGGACATTCAAAAGGTTTCTCTCCTGTGTGAATCCTCTGGTGTCTCATGAGGTTGGAATTCTGAGTGAAACGTTTCCCACAATCAGGACATTCAAAGGGTTTCTCTCCTGTGTGAGTACTCTGGTGTATCACCAGGCTGAAATTATCCCTAAAATCTTTCCCACAATTAGGACATTCAAAGGGTTTCTCTCCTGTGTGAGTCCTCTGGTGTATCATCAGGCTGGAATTATAACTGAAACTTTTCCCACAATCAGGACATTCAAAGGGTTTCTCTCCTGTGTGAGTCCTCTGGTGTCTCATGAGGTTGGAATTCTGATTGAAACTTTTGCCACAAACAGGACACTCATGTGCTTTCTCTCCTGTATGAGTCCTCTGGTGTCTCGTGAGATGGTAATTCTGACTGAAACGTTTCCCACAAAGACAACATTCAAAGCGTTTCTCTCCTGTGCGAGTCCTCTGGTGTCTCATCATGTGACAATTTCTTTTCCCACAATCTGGACACTCATACAGCTTATCCCTGGAGTGAATCCACTGATATATCTCCAAACTGGAATTGTGATTGAAAGTTTTCCCACAGTCAGAACATTCGAAGGGTTTCTATCCTGCGTTGAGTCCTCTGGTGTCTCATGACTTGGGAATTTCTAATGAAACTTTCACACAATCAGGACATTCAAAGGGTTTATCTCCTGTGTGAGTCCTCTGGTGTCTCATCATGTGGCAATTTCTTTTCCCACAATCTGGGCATCATACTGTTTATCCCTGGAGTGAATCCACTGATGTATCTCCAAACTGGAATTTGATTGAAACTTTTCCCACAGTCAGAACATTCAAAGGGTTTCTCTCCTGTGTGAGTCCTCTGGTTACTCTCTGATGTGGGTCCTTCCATGAACCTCAAGGAAGCTGTTCTGACTAAAGCTTTCAACACATTTGGATAATTGTTTTGGTTTTTCTCCAGTGTGGATGCTATCATGCATAATCTTTGATTTGCTATCTATGGCTTTCCCGTAATAGGGATATCTATGGAGATTTTCCACAGCTGATATTCTTGAGGTCAAAAATATGGACAATCCCTTGTTTAGTGGTGCTTTCATTCAAGACATTTTCTTTCTGAAAGATTGAGGCCTGCATTACTGTCTGCTCTATGTCGCTTTCCTATTGAGCTTTTCTCCAACTGAATTCCATATATTTCCCTCTTTTATTGAATGAAAAATAATCTCCCTTGACTTTTCATGTAATAATCTACTTATTCCAGTTTGAAATCTTTTTGATTTCCTCTCTTTTGTCTAACAGTTGCTGGAGGAGAATTGTGTGGTTTTCTGAAGGAAATGGAAAATATTTTGATTTCGGTTTGATTTTTTTCCCTTTTCAATGTTGCTTGTTATTGTTAGTTGTCCAGAATGCTCTTATTGCCATCCTCTTTGTCTATAAGATTCAAAGAAAAGTGTAACTTTAATTGTGTATAAAGTAGTTTCAGAAGATGTGAAAAAAAGAAAGTATACATTAAAATGAAAAATCAAAAATGACACAATGCAAGAATATTCTCTTACATTATTTATGATTCATTTGACACATGGAAAACTACTGACATCCAAGTTCAAATATTCATTCAATCAAATTCAGTTTTTGATTTGGGTCAATTCTCTTGTTGACTTTGGTCAGTCACAAATTCTTAGCACTGCAAAGGGTTATCATCAAATACATCTCTAAGTGATAAGAGATAGATTATATAATTGCAGATATATGCATACAGAGAGAAATACAGATACACATATCTACAAATGTATATATGGAGAAGATCCATGTCTTTTAAGCCTGAAAATATGAATCCATAGCTCGGTTCTCTGCTGCAGTGGCCTTCCGGAAAGGCCTGTGACTGAGAAATGCAGGCCTGGCTGCAGAAGACACCGCATAGGAAGTGGGCCGGTGCAAAGCAAGTGGATGTGGGGTGCATGGGGTGGGCCTAATATAAGTTCTACCCCCAAAATAAGCTCTAATTTTGGGGTGAGGCACACACCCCTATCTCCCACCCTAGCTTGATTTTTAGGTGTGTGCCTCACCCCAAAATTAGGGCTTATTTTGGGGGTAGAACTTATATTAGGCCCACCTGCAAAAATCAAGCTAGGGCTTATTTTTGGGGAAGGCCTTACTTTTGGAAAAACACAGTAGTTACAGAGGTGCAGAATACACAAGACACAGGTTACAAATTAACAATTGTGGTATGTTAGAAAGACACCGTATGTGTGAAGTCCTCATCACTAAGCAAGAGTTGGGAAATCAGCTTTACATTACCTTTTTATTATTAAACTTGTTTGAGGCAACTTTTGAGCAACTTCCCTTGCCCTAATGTTCATAGTAACCCTGACAATACCCATTGTATCCATTGTCAAAAGCTACTGATAATTCTAACATAATGCATCTTTAAAAATGAAATGTATTCGACTGCACATTTTTTTTCTCATTTTAAGGTAGCCAATCAGAGGTTTGTGACTCTTCTGCGCGAAAGTGTGGACAGTGTGTCAAAATGGGAGCCTCTTCCTTAAGTCCACTGCATAGCGAAGCAATTAAGCCAGGGCCCACTATAAATAACAGCTGCTTCCAGGACGCAATCATACAGCCCAGAGATGGGTGTCCTCCCCTCCATCCCCAGGATGAGGTTCAGAGAGTTTCAAAGTTAAGGAGGAGGAGGGTGTAAGGCGTGGTGGGGTGGGAATCAGGCCTAAGGACTGCAGGGACCCAGTGGGAGGGGGAAAAGCCTGTGGGGACCTTGGGGGGGAGGGAAAGGACTGGGGGAACACAAGGGCTGGGAAACAGAGTACAGGGTGTCTTGGAGGGTGGGGAAACCTAGGGATGTCTATAGCAGGTCAGCCTGGCCCTGCGCTAGGCCTCCAAGAGTTTCCCAACCCTGTGGTAGCCAGTGTTCTGCTTAGCGATTCACACATTTGATTGACTGCATCAGGGTGAGCAGCAGGATGTGGGTAGTTAAGGAAACCAGCCTCACTTAACAGCCATTGTAACATGCAAACTTAATTGCAAGGCCCATGACAGTCATATCTTGAGGACTACTTGTATGCTGGCTGAAGAATTCTGGGCCCCCCAAATCTGGAGGAAACCAAGGTAGAAGACTGAAGCTCCACATGTGGGAATTCAATAATCAATATACAAAAACACCACCCAAACGTGGTTTTTTTTTTGAGGAATTCCACAACTTCTGCAAAAGGAAATATCCAGTAACTGCTGCTGATAACCAGAAACTGGTAGTAGGACTTTTTTTCATTTTTGTTTTCTCTCCACTTACAAATCTAATTCTGAGTCATGTTTCACTAGAAAGTAATCAAGCCAGAATTCGAATAGTCAATTCCTCACCTACACCTTCAGTGAAATATCACAAATGAAATTCAAGTCATCTATAAACTTATTTACTTTTGCCTCATGTGGACTTCCTTGTGTGTGATAAAGGATGATTTATGCCTGAAGTAACATCCATAAATGACATCTAAAAGGCTTCTTCCCGGTGTGAGTGCCCTGGTGTATCACCAGGTTGGAATTGTGACTGAAACTTTTTCCACAATCCAGACACTGATACAGTTTCTCTCCTGTGTGAGTCCTCTGGTGGTTCACCAGGTTGGAATATATATACACATATGTATAGACCCACACCCCTACATATACATTCTTGTTCTTCTTGTTGTGCCATATCCGTTATCGGACGTTGGCGATCATGTTGGTGATCCTGTTTTTATCAGCAGCCGCACGAAAAAGTGCTGCTGAATTTTATCCAAGCCAGTCCCTTAGATTTTGAAGCCACGATGTTCTTCTTCTGCCTGGACCTCGTTTGCCTTCAATCTTTCCCTGGAGGATTAAATGGTGTATGCAGTATTTTTCTGGGCATCACATCACATGTCCGAAATATTCTAATTTTTGTTTTTTAATTGTTTTGATGATTTCCCTTTGCTTTCCCAGGCGGCTGATCACCTCATTTCTGATCTTGTCAACCCAGCTTATATGTAACAGCCGCATGTAAATCCACATTTCAAATGCTTCTAGTCTCTTCAGGTGGCTTTCTGTCAGAGACCAACTCTCTACTCAATAGAGCAGGATAGAAAAAATATAGCATCTGACCAGCCTGATTTTCAGTCTTAGGCTTATGTCATGACTGCAGAAGACTTTTCCATTTTGAAGAATGCTGTTCGGGCTTTTTCTATCCTTGTCTTTACTTCAACGGTCATGTCCCAGCTTTCATGTGCGTGATCCTTTCAACTTTTTCTAGTGGTATTCCTTCTGAATTTATTGGTGGTAAATTAATGGGTTGTTTGCTGACGACCATGATCTTGGTTTTTGAGGTGTTAAGCTTCAAGCCGTATTTTTCAGATATTTCTGTGACTCTGTTGATGAGGAGCTGAAGGTCTTCATGCTTACTGGCAAGCAGAACTGTATCATCAGCATATCTTAAATTGTTGATATAAACACCGTTTACTTTGATGCCGGCAACAGTAGAGATAGAATACATCCCTGTCTGACCCCTCTTCTTATTTCTGCATCAGCTGAGTATTTTTGGCCTAGTGTCACACTTGCTACCTGATGCCAATACAGATTCTTTATTATTTGGATGTCTTTGTCATCTAGTCCCCCTTGTTTCAGGATTTCTAATAGTTTGCTATGTCTTATTTTAGCAAAAACTTTTTCGAAATCAATGAAGCACATGTAAACACTCTACATATACATAACAAATAAATATTAAATACTGTCCATCTTGAATATATAACGGAAGGAGGAAGCCTGAGAGTTTACAAGGTTAATGCTGTATGGAATGAAATTATGGTTGAATCTGTATGTTCTGCTGCGGATACCACAAAGCCTCCTCCCACAAGGTAACAAGGAAAACAGGTTGTGAAAAGGATGGGTAGTGCCAATGATCTTTTCAGCTAGAATAAGCTCGTACATTATTTATGATTCATTTGACACATGGAAAACTACCAACATGCAAGTTCAAATATCCATTCAATCAAATTCAGTTGTTGATTTGCGTCAATCACAAATTCTTAGCATTGCAAAGGTTTATCATCAAATACATCTGGAAGTGATAAGAGATAGATTATATAATTGCAGATATATGCATACTGTCAGAATCCATTTATATTTCATGTCTAACTATCTCCTCTGATCTAAAACCAAATCTCACCTTTCCCTGGATTCTGCCATACTCCCAAGGGGGAGGGGGGTATGCATGCAGGTTTTATTGCTTTCACTTCCTCTATTCACTACAATGTAACCTTTTGTTTATTTGCCTTTGTGTCTGCTATCCATTACAATGTAACAAATTGCCTCCTATACTATGCATCCCTCTGAACTTCTCCTCCCTAACTGGGCAGCTGGGGAAAAGGGAGGGGGGGGAGATACAAACCTCCAGGACCTGGTTTATTTCTCTGTCCTCAAAATGAGGTGTGAAGAGCTGTGGAATGATCATGCACAAACGGAGCCGGATAGATGTTATCTTTCTTAATGAACTTAACACTTGGGGATTTGCCGGTCTACACCGCCCGGACACTTTTAAAATACCGATCTGTAAAGGGAATCCCTCAGATCCTGTCTATTATGCCTGCTATCTCCTATTCTTAATAAAAGTTCCTGCTTGGAAGAAACTGTTTCCAAGAGTTCTGCTTTCTTAAGATGTGGGCTCTGACACATACAGAGAGAAATACAGATACGCACATCTACAAATGTATATATGAAAAAAATCCATGTTTTTCAAACCTGAAAAAATGTCCCAAAATGGTTACAGTCAAAGCTTTTGAGCTACTTTAAAGATGTGGGGGGTTTAACTGATAAATAACCGAATAATAGTGTTGGAAGGGACCTTGGAAGCCTTCTAGTCCAACCCCCTGCTCAGGCAGGAGACCCTATTACCATTCCTGACAAATGCTTGTCCAATCTCTCTGAAAAATTTCCCATAATGAAGAAAATTCAGGAAAATTCT